TTCAGCTTCTGAATTCATCGGTCCCCCTGACTCTGGGAAGTCAGGGCCAAAGCTGAAGGCTGGAGAGAGACGGCATGCAACTTTCCATTTGCGCAGTAAAACTTGCAGACTGCGCTGAGGGGTGCAGTGGGTTCCTGGGGTGGGGAGGCTGAACCTGCTCCCTTGGGCCCCCTTGTACATTGACCATGGCTGCAGGCAAAGGGCCTCTCACCACAAAGCTGCCAGGAAGCTTGCGGAACATTCCACAGCTCCAGAAGGGAGAGGCTTTAAGAGAAACATCGACTGAAGCTACTTAACACTCAACTCTTCCCCAAAGCTAACTCTCTAATGATATTGTTCTTAGAATGGAATGAACACACACCCAACTTAGTTATTAATAATTGCGTGAAATTCCCTGTTTGGAGGTTCTGTGATATGCTGCAGGCAGGTGTGAGGACTTTCTCTGCGCAATAGGAAATGTAGGGGTCGGAGGAGTTTCTTTACTTTTCACGGGAAGGAAAACGGCTTTCAGCTAGCCCTCTCTTCCCTTTGGTGCCTTTGAGGGGAGCGAGACTGTACTCATAGGCCTTAGCAGCTCTCTTTGGATCGAGATGAGGACTACAACGGTATGTATTCTTCCCCCTATAAAATGATGAAGCCCGGGTCCAGGACCCCACCTTTGACTCATGCACTCTAGACCATCGGTGCCACCTTCTTTTCAGAAGAAGAAAAAAAAAAATCCTCAGTGCCTCCCCGCCCACCCACCACCCCACCTGCCCAGAGGGCAATTAAAAACATTTGTACATTTGTACTGTAGCCCATAATCCAGGATAAAGTGTAGGCGGATCTGCTTTGGCAGCCCCCCTGGCTTGCCCAGTGCCCCCCACAGGAGGTGGTATCATGCACACACTACCTAGGATGTGTTTTGTAATTGAAGGTAAAATGGTGACATTTAAATCAATGCTAAATATTCAATACCTATTTAGCTTTTCAAAGTTCATCTTTCTTTTAACTTTTTAGAACATTTAAAAATTCACTTTTTATCTATCCACATAACCACCTACCTATATTTCCAAATCACCACCACCATCCACCTATGCTATCTGCACACACATTATATTTTAAAATCTTGCTGTAAAACTAAATAAATAAATAAATAAAATCTTGCTGTAGACTTCTGTGTTGACCCCATTTCACCTGACTGGCAACTGTATTGCTGGTGGCATTCCTCAAAGCAATCATTTTTAATACTTATATTTAATATCACATATATACTCTGTTGATCTGATTAAAAAGCTCATCAATCCACTGCCATTGAGTTTCAAATAACTCATCTCTCCTCTAAGCCTAAGAGGACATGGTGGGTTGAACTGACAGCCTAGCAGTTAGCAACCCAACCCCTAATCCTCAGCACCACTAAGGACTCCTTGGATCTGATGATAGGAAAATGCCTTTGTAAAGACTCTCTAGCTCACAGCAGAAAATGGAAAATTCCAAATGGTGGTAAACATTAGACAAAAAAGACATTTCAGGCTGATTAACATAGATTGTAAGTGCTTATCACCTACTTTGTACCAGCCCTCCCTGTTTACTACACAAACAGAATCATTTGGAATTGTTAAATACCTTTGTTTCGCAAATCTGCCTTTATATCTATGAAAATTAACCAGGTGCGGAAGAGTAGTCTTGGAACTCCTTTCAATTTATAAAGCGACCTTTACCTACCAGCACTTGCAGAATTCTCAGTAATGAAAATCATCATCATCATACAATGATATCCTTCCCACAATAACAACCCCCCAGAGGGGGGGCCGATGAACAACAGAAACCATGGGGAAAGGGAGAAAGCTGTTGGTGTAAGATATGAAAATAGTAATAATTTATAATTTATGAACGGGTCATGAGGGTGGGAGGTGGGGAGGAAGGAGGCAAAAAGAGGAGCTGATACCACGGGCTCAAATAGAAAGTAAATGTTTCAAAAATGAGGATGGCAACATATGTACAAATATGCTTGATACAATTGACATATGGATTGTTATAAGAGCTGTAAGAGCCCCCAATAAAGTGATCTTTAACAAAAGCAAAACAGGCAGGGGTTATAAACACAGGTTCCAAACCATTAGTCTTCTTACACAAGCTTCAATTTCCAAATCCTCAACTTACAAGCATGTTGACAGCAACCCAAGAAGGAAGGCCGGGCTGCTGGTCGCCTAAGTATCTGTCAATCAGCTTACAAGTAAAACGAAATCAGAGTAGAGCTTAGGCTCAGTCCAAATCAAGGCTAAACATTCCTACCGTATCTCAACTGACACCATGTTAGGCGCACTTGCCTTTAGAATAGACTTTCCCTCAGGAGGATGAGCGTGGCAAAGCAGACACTTAAAATCAGCCACCCTGGCTGAAGCGAAATTCATTAACTATCACCTATATTGAACATTTTAAAATTTAAAGTTTAAAACCACCCGCTTTCCTATCACCAATGAAAAAGTGCCGACTTTAAAAACAAGTAGTCATTAAGATTCGACTGGAGAGTTTCATGATTGGCGGCAGACAAGATTTGTACACATTAGCATACTCGGCCTGAATTATAGGTAGGAATCTCTTGTGTGTGTGTTTAAATCATCATTCCAACTTCACATTAAATAAGAGGGCCCAATCAAAGGCCAATTGCCTGCAAGGGTTACAGGAACTTGTCCGGTTGCCTGCCTCCTCGCTTAAGTCGTTATTCTTTTGTATAATGTTTCCAGCACATCTGACAGGAGAATGACTTAGTGGTTTTGTCATCAAGCCCTGTTAGGTAGAACAACTTCCCTGCCTCTCCGTAGTTTACGCCCCAATTCTCGTGTCCCACCAGGCTAAAGGCAGAAACCATGCCCCTGAGAAATAGCTGGTTAAAAATGGACGTACCTTAAGGAACTCCATCCAAGTCCCGGCTTTTGTTTGTCCTCAGTTACCTGTTGGCCATCTCTGTCCGGAGTGACACTGGGGCCAGCTGGTCCCACCGCGAGGGGGGTCTCAGTGGCTTAGGGGAGGTGACATAAGAATCAAGAGTCCTCCCCCAAGGAATCGGAGGGAGCCAGCCCCAGGCCGGCTCGGCTCAGACACAGGTGCTGACACCACCGGGCCACTTCTGCTCACAACCTGCAGCCCAACGGTTGCCCTGATTAGCCAAGCACAAAGGGCAGTTCGAATTACTGCCCTCCTCCCAACCAATGGCTGGCCGGCGGCCTGACAGGAGCCGGAGCCGGAGCCCTGCCCTGGGAAGCACACAGGGCCGGAGCGGAGAGCTGGGGCTGGCTGCTGGCCGCTGGCTGCCTGGGCTCCTGCTGGCATGCCAGCCTCGAACTCGGGTGGGAGACGCCCTTTGTCAGTCTCTTGTGAGTCCAGCTGTGGCAGGGGGTAAGCTCTCTCGCGCCTTACCCAGCGAGTAAGAGACCCTGGATCGCTGGACTCCTACACACCATGCGGCTGGCACTACGGAGAGTGCCACAAAGCCCACCGTGGGCACTGTTCACGCTGAATGCTTCCTTAGTCCCTCCCCCTTGCCAGTCTCCACCCAGGCCTGGTTGCTGGGGATTAAGTTCAATTTTAAATTTGCTATGGGTTTTGCAAGCAACCCTTCTAACCACAACTAAGAGGGAGAATGAAAGAAAAAGAAATTTGTTCTACAATCACCATTTCCAGCAGTGAAGTTCAACATTGTAAAAATCACCTCAGAAATAGAAACTTATTTTTAAAAGAAATAGAAATTTATAAAGCTGGTTTATAAATATATAAACAAACAAGAGACCCGCAAAAACAAAACCGCGGTTTACAGTATTTCTGTTTAGTATTACGAATAGGTGGAAGTGAAGATAGGGACACGTGTTTAGGGAGACTCTAGCGCTCACAGCTGAAAGATGGCAACTTCCCAATCCTGTTGAACTTTACCACACGTGCGTTTGAAAATGCAGCCCCCGAAGCTGAGACCAAGGGCTGAAGGAGAAAGACAATGTTTATGAGAATGATGAGGGCAACAAATGCACAAATGTGCTTGACACAATGGATGGATGGACAATTGTGGTAAGAGCCCCCAAAAAATAAAGAAAGGAAAATTCATCACCCAAAAGAGGACGATGCAGTTATCTGTGTCAAACCTTGCCCCCAAAATGCAAAACATATTCTGAGTGCAATCATCGTAGCATGTCTCCTACACTACAATCCGTGAGAGGAATTTTCCGAGTATCTCTCGTGGGGGCTCCGGACACTGTAATCCTTTGCATCTGTATGGATCAGCAGCGTTTGATTCAAATTTGGTATTTGCCCCAGACTGTAGGGGTCAGCTTAACAGTAACCACAGACACAAAGAGAGAAAGGGCTAGCACACATGGAAAGGAAACCCGGCTCCCAGGGCGCCTGAGCTCATGGGTCTATAAATGCATGCGGTTTCCCTCGTTCACAGCTGCTAGGGCGGGGAGCCGTGGATCATAGGATGCCATAGATAATTCGAAAACCTTCTAGCAAAAAGATCTTTGAAAGGCTCTCGGAACTTTTCTTCTTTTTAAGACATAGAAACAAGAGGAAATGCGAGCAAGCTCTCAGACAGATGCACAGACAGCCGCCCTCCCATACACGCCGCCCGGCAGCATACACAGATGGAGGCGTTGTCTAAAAGCGTCGTCAGCCCCACTCCAGACACCAAGAGCGCGGAAAGCCTCCTCTAAGAGGCCATTGCCTTTCCTAGGTGAGACATACTTTCTTTCAAGTGTTCCTGTATGAGCCCCAAAGGGTCTTGCCAGAATGTTCCAGCTGACTCCCAGAGCTATTGATAGTCTTACAGTGTGAGAGCCAGGGGAGTGGGGTTGGGGCAAATGGGAGCAGCTGGGTGGGTGGGACACAGAGTGGTCTTTCAGAAGAGAAGCTTCCCACCCTGGCCTCTTGACTGCATCCCTTCTTTCAGAGGTAGCCTTCTCTCCCTTGGAGAACGGCTTTTCTACCCAGGGTTTCTGCCGTGCTGGAGCTCTCCCCCGCCTCCCTCCCCAAGCACCACCTCTGCCTGGCATTTCCTTCTGACACACTGGCTACTCTGCCCAAGCCAGAGTTCAAGAGCAGTGGGGCCATGGGCCGCCTGCAATTCATTTCACATGTGTCAAATTTCACAACCTCCCACTGCTGACCAGGATTTCATCTGTGTTGACAAATGGCCATGTTTGACATCTGTTGATCACAAGCAGCCATCGGATGTGGGAATGGCGGGGGACCTAAGGAGTCAAGGGTTCTAAAACATCACCTCCTCTTTTCACTCTTTCAGGCTCACGCTCCAGCTCTGGCCAGCCGAAGCTCACTTCCAATCTCCTACCCTCCAAGGTAGTCTATGAGGAGACTCTCACTCAGCAGGCCGTCTGCGCTGGAAACTGTGTACCAGGGGGACTGGCTGCACAGTGCGTGGGAAAACCCCATGATCTTTTCATCCCATCTCTCCATGAACTTTTGGAAGCCCCCTAGGAATGGTGTGTGTCATCGTGGACCTCGTGTTATGTTAGATGAAAAGAAATCGCTCTGTGGTTAGTAGATGTTGGCTATGGGATTTTAGGGAAGTTAAAGAAATCCAACAGTTTAAAAAAAAACTTTACAATAAAAATCCAGTAATAAACAGCGAAAGGTAATGACAGTAAATAATAGGCATAGGAATGTCATATTAACAATAATCTACATAATACTGACACTCAAACAACAAGTGTGAGAAGGTGAACAGGATTATAGCCACAAAAAGTGAGGGGGCGAATTTCAACTCAACTCATCTGCTTTTGTCTGCTTTTGGTGGCTTATTTTTAGGGCACATCCAGAAAACAGCAGAATGTTGAATTGTGGGAGGCTTTGCCAGTCTTGGATGTTGAGTTAGTTAATTGTGCCAGCCTGGCCGATAGTCACATGTGGGGCTGGTTGAAAGGTGGAGGGATAAATGGGTGGTGAGCCACGCCTTTCTAGTTCTTGGATCTCTTGCTTTGTGATGGTTGCACCAGGTGCAGCTGCCTTAGCAGTTCCCTGCTTCAGCTCGCAAGATTGACTTCCTACAAGACATCCCCAAGGAGAAGCTACATGGACCTATCCCGATGCAGCCCTGGGTGCTGGAGCAGCCGTGTGGAGACCCCTGCTAGTGCTGAGATGCTTGTTTGTTCACTGACTCAGCTTTCCTCCTGCAGTCGGCATCATTGCCTCTGTTTTGTGAGGTGGAGGACTTTGTGGACTGGTGTTGGGTTAATGGGTTAATGTTGGACTTGTGGGCTTGGGCAGCATTGGTTTGGGATGTTTTCGTGATGCACATTTTCTTTACATAAAACTCTCTTATATATGAGTTGCTGTGCATTTGTTTCTCCAAAGTACCTAGACTAATACAGATGTCAGCTTCATATTCCACAGGTATTAGCCCATAATACAAATCATACTTAGTGGTAGTTTGTAATATAAAAAGTTCAAGACACATAAACACTTGACACATATATTCATGATGACTCCCTCGTCCTGATTCTCTCTGTCAGAACTTGGTGCACCCTGTGTAACAGTTTGGTCGTCGTCACCTACTTCTCCTAATAACGTTGCATGATAATCAATTGTGAATTAGTGGGGCATAGGGTGTAACATTGCTGGCTAAAGTAGAGGGGCCGTGGAAACAAGATGGAATGACACAGTGGCTGCGAGCAGAGGAACAATTGTGCGGAAGGCACAGAGCTGTGCAGTATTTTGTTCTATGGTGCACAGGGTCGCTATGGGTTGGAACTGACTCGATGGCACCTAACAGCAACCGGATGTAACAGGTAGGGGACTTGATGTTGGTGACGAATATTGAGAGTACCATGGACTACCCAAAGAACAGACAAATCTGTCTTGGAAGAAGTCCAAGTAGAATGCTCCTTAGAAACAACCATGGGGAGACTTCACCGTATGCGCTTTGGACATGTCAGGAAAGAGCAGTCCCTGAGGAAGGTCACGTGCTTGGTCAACTAGAGGGGCAACAAAAAAGAGGGAGGCTCTCAGGGAGATGGCTCGACACAGTCGCTGCAACAATGTGCTCAGAAATAACAACAATTGTGAGGCTGTCCAGGACCCGTCTTTCGCTCTGCTGTGCATATGGCTGCTGTGAGTAAGAACCACTGCTGCAGCATCTACCAACAACAAGAACAGGGTGTCACCGCTTACCAGCAATTGAAGATATTGGTATTTGCTAACCCTCTTAAGGAAATCTCCCTGAAAGTCAATTAAATTTAGAAGAGAATTATAGCCACATGGCTTTTTAGATTTGGGGGACGCACATTAAGGATTATGTACAAACTGTTCATCGTATTGCTGTAATGACCCTTAAAAATAACCAGTCAAATACTAGGTGTGAAAAATAAGTAATTATAGCTAATAGCTGAGCTCCTTGACCACATTCAGTTGCTGTCTGATTCCCTTTGAAAGAACACACCCACAGGTTTTACGAAAGAACAAAAAACCAGGTTTTGTGTTACTCCACTGATCAACTGCAGACCCCGGGGGATAGGCTTGCGTGCAGATGATCAGATTTCTACTGGTCTTTTTCCCTAACGATGTGCACATGCCCTTGAAGGGCGTGTGTCGGGGCTGGAGATGGGGGTGTCTGGAAGAACGCTGCACTAAGGAGTGAAGAAAGCAAGGTGATTTACTCATTTTCAATTCTTTTGTGTCTGGGTCTGTCCACACAGTGACGCTATTCTCGGGAAAGGTGAGGTAGAAAAACCCACTCCCTGGAGCACATTTGGGTGCCTGTGGCATGGTGGCGCAGGGGTTCAGCTCCTAGCCACTCAAGGAAAGGCTGACAGGTAGAATGCACCAGAGACTGTCCTTTTAGCGAGACGTGGCAGTCTGCGTCTGTGCAGGGTCGCACCCTTGGAAGCCCTAGAGCACAGTTCTCCTTCGTCCTTGCTGGCGGCGGGCACCGTGACAGAAACATCGCTAGACACTAAAGTACTAGCTGAAAAGTTGGTGACTCAAAACTGTTGGGGCGGGGGGATCAAACTCCCTGCCACCGAGTCCATTCTGACTCACAGTGACCCCATAAGGCAGAGTAAGGACAACTGCCCCTGTGGGTTTCAGAGGCTGGAAATGTTTCCAGGAGCAGAGAGCCTCCTCTTTCTCCCTCGGAGCCGCTGGTAGGTTCGAATGGCTAACCTTGCACTTGGCAGTCCAACACATAACCTATGATGGTATACCACCAGGAAAGGCACCAGAGGTACCTTGAAAGAAACACCTGCCAATCGCTGACTGAAAGGACCCAGCCGTGAACATCCATAGTTTTGAGTCACATGGTGTCACTGTAAGTCGGAATCAATTTGATG